CGCACAGAAAAAAAAAAAAAAAAAAAAACTGGAAATAGCTTGAGAAGTGCAATTCATCAAAAGTAAACTCCCAAAATACCGGCACGTATTGAAATATGTGTGACATACATACACACCCATACATATATATATATATATGTATATACACACAAATTACACCTGTGCATTTGATTGCATACATTTATGCTCGTTCATCTGACTGTTGCGATTGCCCAAACCCATACATGCGTATATACATGCATGCTTAGTATAAATGTGCTGAATTGCAAGTGTTGCCAGAAGTCGAAACTGTAAACAACATTTTGAAAGTGATTGAAAACAAGCGTCAACAGGGAGCTGAGGGTAGGTGTTGCCGCCTATTGTTATGCTTTTTTCTGCCTTTTGTTGTTGTTTTGTATTGTTGCTTACTTTACATAACGGTTTTTTTTTGCAATGGACACTGGAACGACAGAGTGAAGGAAATTATGAACATTTATACAAACAGACATAGTATATACTAGGTATGATATTTTTTTTTAAGTCCCTTGTTACTTTTTCAGCTAAGCACTAACAAATGACAGTTTAAATACATATGTATGTATGTATGTACGTATCATTTTATACACGCAGATAAATGGACGTGGCTCACTTTTCAAGTGCAAATCATTTTTAACATATTTTCGCGGCTTTTGGAGAAGGTCAAAATACTTCAAAAAGCAGCTTTAACAATACAACAAAAATTAATAAAAATTAAAACAATACACCCACACACACACAGTAACGAAATGTATGTACATATGTACTTATTGAAATACAGCATACATACATACATATGTATATAGACGGCACACTCAAAAGGCTGAACAACTTCTAAAAAATTATGCATAGACATACATACGTACATATACAGTTGTTCATATATTTGCTGGTCGTGCTGTATGTGAAGCATGAACATAAATAAATAAACAGAATTATATCAAAACGCACGCGAGGCGTATAAATGTGGGCATGGGTGTGTGGTGAATACATATGCATATATGTATGTGCATATGTTTGTATGAATGTGTGCATGTGTATGTGCAGACACCCATGCAAGGTGGTAACGCTGCGCACAGAGAAAGATAGAGCGAGAGAGCAAGAGAGCAGCAGCAGACGCTGTGAAGTTTGAATTGGAAGATACAAGGTTACAACAACAAGACAACAAAGCAGCTGATGTGGTAGGAAATGGGCATACGAAAGTGTAAACGAAAGGCAGAGAATTTTCTCCAATTGGAATGACCGTTGGCTGCTGGCACTTGTTGTTGTTGCTATTGTCATTTGATAATAATATAGGGCTATAATAAACAGGCAATCCAATAATGTTAAAGGGGCAAACAAAAGAAATATATGTATATACATCTGTATAGAGAGCAAACACGAAGTACAACTAGAAAGTTTTTTTATTTGTTGCTATTTGATGATGTTTGATAGACACAGACACACATATGTATAAATAATATATTTATCGGTGTGTAGGTATACACACTATCTATGTATGTGAGTGTAAATAGTAAACACACCTGCTTCAGCACTCACCGTTATTGCTTCTTATTGGTATTCTAAGCGAAGATGGCGAATTTTTCAGGCCAAGACGACGAGCGAAGCGACGTCGTCGTTCCAATCAGACGTGCATTAAACTGCCATGAAAGAGTTGTAATTAGCTGGACGACGACGATGGCGAGCTTTTATTTAATTTCACTTCAAATTTTGACGAGACCGACTTTTATTTGCTGTAAACGTCACTTCTTCGGTTTGTCCGCAGACACTGACACACGCATATATACATAAAGACACACACACTATTCGTTTTCTGGTTGGAGTAAGTTTTCAATTGGTATTTGCGAAGCGGCAATGGCTTTGCTTTGAATGCACTATCGCGTGTATCGTTAACTATGTGGCTGTGGTGAAAAAAATACAAAACAAAAAACAATATCATTCACAATCTTTAAATTAGATTTCTTTGGCGTTCGAGTTTTTGATGTTTGCTGAATTTATAAACTGAGCTTCCAGTGTGACTGCACTCTGCGAACAGTGTGACCACAGTTAACTAACAATAAAATGCCACACAAAATACAGAATCCATTTAACATTTCATCACGGCAATCTAACAGTTTCTTTTAAGTTCGATAGTAGAAATGGTCGCATATCGATAAAAGAAATAATTACTTAAAAACTAATGAAATAAATTGAAAAATTAGCTTTTTGGAATTATATATGTATAATTTACGGTCATCATTTACGGTCAACAATGCATCCTCCCTTACGGACTTGTGAAATATCGCCGCAAGGGTTTTGAGGGTGGTTATCGCCAGTGTTATCGCTTACGATACCTTATCGCATTTGCTGTTTATCCCTCGGAGCATTTTAAGTTGTCATAAGCTGAGAGATATTATTTATTCCGAAGAATCTAGGACATATAAAAAACAACAGGATGCCAGAAACTGAACAGTTACCCGAAGGTTGGGAAAAACGCACTAGCCGCTCAACTGGTAAGGACAAACCAAAACTAAAAATTCCTACGAAACTCCATTTGCAACCGGTAATTTTTTGCTTTTCAATGTGCAAATATATATGTGCTCTTCAGGTATGAGCTACTATCTCAACGTGCACACAAAAGAGTCCCAATGGCACCAACCAACCGAACCGGCGAAAAAGTCTGGGGGAAATGGCGCCACCGGTGATGCCCCCAACGAGGTGCAATGCCTCCATTTGCTGGTCAAACACAAGGGCAGTCGACGGCCCAGCTCCTGGCGCGAAGAGAACATCACACGCACCAAAGAAGAGGCCCAAATGCTGCTCGAAATCTATCGCAATAAAATTGTTAACAATGAGGCGACATTTGAGGAACTAGCACGTTCCTATTCCGATTGCAGCTCTGCCAGGCGAGGCGGTGACCTGGGAAAATTCGGACGAGGTTAGTCTGGAATGAGCTTCCATTTCAACGAATCACTTTCTTAACCCTTTCGAATCCTTATATAGGTCAAATGCAGGCCCCGTTCGAGAAGGCCGCTTTCGCCTTGAAGGTGGGACAATTATCGGACATTGTGGACACCGACTCCGGCCTGCACATCATTTTACGAAAATCATAGACCAAATCAACGGATAACATGTAGAGGACACGGAATTAACTGATTACAAATCAAACGAAATTAAAACGCTTGAATGAAAATACACGCTTATAAAGTATTTTCATTTGTATTGCCCCAAAAATCTCTTAAATTCTCATTCAAATTGTTAGGTCTTTCCTCTGCTTTAATAAATAAGACAATATATAAATATCGTTCATCTCTGCCAAGAACGAAACTTCTAAGCATTAAGTTTTATTAACCAAATATATAATGGATCTAGAAGAGAACCAACCACATCCAAATACAGAAAAAATTCCTGTCTTAATACTTATTAAAAATTCCATATAAAATGTTTCTAAAGAATGCCATTTTTCATTTTTTTATGTAAACTTCAACTTTCCACCATACAAAATGTGTTGCTTATAACCTTTAATATAAACAAATGCGATTTTTCTAACGAGAAATTCTGACTACAGATTTTTTAGATAGTCTTGAACATGCGTTTCTTTCCTAATATGAATTTTCCATGTATTATTCAAATGTGGACATCCCTAGCGCTATTATTCTCGTCTTTCATAACTCTCAACAGTCTCGAGCCAAGTCCGTTTTCTTAATTTCTGGTTGCTTTACTGCTCGACTTAACGATATCATTGCAAACCTCTGCCCTCTCACTGAACAGCAACCGGGTCCTTAAATGGCGATTAAAATGCCAACTCACTCGAATAGTACGAGCGGTCGATTTCTCTAATACCAATACGTCATATCACACGATATATATATATAAAATATTTTATTTAATAGTTGTTATCATCGACTAAAATTACTTCATTGAATATGTTATCATATCATCGACTAAAATTATTCCATTGAATATATTATCATATATCTATCTATTCCTTTAATTTTTTCACCAACAATTTAGCTCCTGCTGATTGAGCATTCTCGAGAATTTGTGACAGATTATCCTCCTTCAACAAAATGCGACATTTGTTGAGCAAATCCGGCGAACTCTCCACAAGCTTGACGAGAATGAAACAAGCACGATTAATACCCAGCCAGAATTTAAGCTAAAGTAAATGAAATAACAAATAATTTAGCATTTGAATGATTACATAAAATTCGAATGAATATCAAATTACCACATCGGTATTAAGATGATTGAACAACTGGTTGCCAAATGGAGTTGACTCGCGCTTTAGGTCGCTACGAAGGATCTTCTTTATTACATGATGCATGCCAGCATCCTCAATTCCTATCACAGTTGGCAATAACTGCTCTTCCTTGGCCGGAGTCTCCTTTTTGACTGTCAAAGTCTCTTTTTCAGCGTCCAAGTTCTCTGCCATTTTCGGCTTTTTGGCTGGAGTGCCCGCCACCTCATTGTTTTTGCCTTTATCCTTGTTATCAATCTCAGTTTCGTCCACATCCTTCATCGTCTCCTCGTTGTTGGCATTCTCCTCCTCCTCGGCTTCGGACTCCTCATCCGAACTAATCAGCGCAGATTTCAATTCATTTTTTTTCTTGCGCTCATCAATTGCATTGGATATGTAAGTCTCCACATCGTGCGGCTTCTTCTTCAGCGAATCGCCCTCAGCGGACTCCTCGGAAATACGCCAATTGACATCAGCGATCACCGGAGCCAAAGCTGCGACGGCTTTCTCATAATGCTCGCCAGTAACTAAGAAGAAAGGTAGAGAGAGAATTGTTTTTGAAAATATTCAGGGGATGATATGAGGAGCTTACGATGCTTCAGTATATTGGCAGTGACGAGTCCAATGTGATTGTTAGACAGCCAGAAAGCAGGATCCTCTGCAATAGCTACCGAAATAGGAGCTTCCACCTGATCCAAGATCTCTTGACGACGCGTTGCTTTGTCCTTCTTGCCGAACTTCAAGCCCAATTCGATGGTCTCAATGAAGCTGGGATGGAAACAGGAAGTATCTCCAGGGGCCACCATCCACTGGACAACACGACGTCCGTAGTTATTCGACACCAAAGTTTTCAGTTCACCATACAAGGGATCAAAAATAGACTTCTTGGCCGCCTTCGTGTCATCTAAGGTGTTTAGCAAAGCGATCAGAAAGGTATGGCCATGCTCGTGCATGGAGATCTTTAGCAAATGTTCCTTGATTTTTTTTATGATGGCCTAAGAGATGGGAATGAGATGATATATATAAGTGAATCAGATTCGTTCGTAGTGCACCTTTGACTTACTCGACGAGTTTTCGAAGTAGAGTTGTAGAAACATAAAATCGCCGCCTCGGCGCCATCCTTAGTGCTTAACATATGCGGTATATAAGCAGCCAAAGGGGTGACAGTCTCCTCCATTTTCTCCTTGTCGATGACCTGTATGTACTCGAGCAAAACGGCGTGCACCAAAGAGTTATCAAGTAGCTCCTTATTGGCAATATGATCCAGATTGGCTTTTACAGCGTTAATTATGGAGGCTTTCATATCAGGTGAACTCTTAAATGAGTCTTTCAGGCACTTCACCTTGTCATCCTTAACCGATTTATATAGATCGCCATAGAATTCTTGGCGCATATAGCGACGCTCTTTTGAATCCCCATTCAAGTATATGTAATCCACGATCTTGCCAGCGATTTTATGACCACATAGACGGACCATATTACCATACATGGCATTAACCAAAAGCTTCTTGGTATTTGGCGAACCGTACTTTAGCATTCGATTGACACAAAAGTGTGCATATTTTGACTGGCACAGCTCCGGGGCGTGCGGTATTAATTTTGAAGACAACTCCTCACGCAATTCTGGTGTCGCATGCTTCAGCATGCACTGAATCACTCGGGAGGAATCGTGAGCCACGACTACCTTTACAATCATGTTGTCGATATTCAGTATTTTATACATTTGCTCTACCAATAGGTGTTTATCTTTGGAGCGACGACTGCAATGGCAATTGTAATATCAATGTCCATATGTGAGTGTCTCTGTTGGAATCTGAGGCGGGATACTTACCATTTAAGCAGTTCATAGAGTTGCTTCACCTTCTGGGTGATTTCGAAGGTTTCACGGCTGCGTTTGCGCTGCAATTTGAGCTGCTTTTTATCCAACTTGAACTGAGTCCAATCCGTTTTTGTGTTTACGTTTCCGTTATCAGATGATTTTGGCTTGCTGAGACGTGGGCCAGTTTCTCCACCTGCCGGAGTGTTGTCAACTTGAACCATATCAACTTTAATTAAGACAAAACAATAAAGGAGAAATGTGTTTGTGTTTCGGGCTCAGCGGCAACACGTGCCGAACGATATATTGAGAGGTATCGTTATCGATGAAAGGCACAGGTGCAGTGTAGTAATATGAAAAAAAAAGTACCAACAGCCGTTCTTAGCTATCGATGGTTGCAACTTCGACGATATTTTTAAATTTATATTTTTATAATTTAGTGCAAGCAGATTATTTCACTTAAACATTTTAGTTTAATTATCTTGTAGCTATGAATATCTTTATGTTGCATATGTATGCATATATGAATACCGTATATCGGCTGGGAATATCGTCAAGAGTATATGGCTAGTTATCTCACCCCTAGTGTACAGTCGCCTCAGTCGCGACGGTGGATATATAAATAATTGTTTTTTTTTTTTTCGCGGCAAAAAGTGCAAACATTTGTTTTTACGACATCGCAAAGCAAGGAAAACAACGCGAGCAATGGTTAAGCTGGGAAAAAAAAAATTAGCAGAGCTCTCGGAAATAAGCAAAAAGAAATCAGCCGCATGCTCCGACAGTGATGAAAACGGGAAAAATGGAGCCAACAGTTCAAGCGGTGATGACTCCGAAATTGTCAACGATAAGCAGGAAAAGGCGTCCAGCTCAAGTGGACCGCCCCGAAAGAAGCAAAAGAAGACGCCCAAATCAAAGGGCAAAGCAGCGCTGCAGGCAGCGGCTGCTGACAAGAATAAAAACAAAAAATCGTCAAACAAAGCCGTATTAGATGACAATAATGATGACAATGCCAACGTCGATAATGATGATGGTGATGGTGAAAATGTTGATAGGGAATTCGAGGTTTGCACACGGTTACAATACTTGCCAATAGGCGAACTATTATATTCGTTTGCATTACAGGTGGAGGCGATTGTGGGCCACAAGTCGAAGAACGGCGAGTCGTTCTTCTTAGTGCGATGGAAAGGTTACGGCAAGGAGGACGACAGCTGGGAGCCGGAGGCCGAGCTGAATTGCGACGACCTGATCGAGGAATATCACAAAAAAGTAACATTTATGCTTGGGCCATGCTTTATGTTTATGTCATTGACTTTCAGAGTTCATTTCCAGAACAGCAAGAAGAGCGCCGGAGCTGGCAAGAAGTCGACGGCTGCGGCAAAGGGCGTGCGCGGCCGAAAGCCGAGCAGCAAGACTGTATCCACCGATCCGGATAAAGAGTGGGCAGTGGAACGCATATTGGACTCAGTCCATGATGATGAGCACGGTGTTCTCTATCGCATACGCTGGAAGGGCTTCGGAGCCAAGGAGGACACCTGGGAACCTGAATCGAATCTATCCTGCGAGGGCCTAATCGAAAAGTTCAAGAGGAGCCTGAACGAGGAACGCAACGTGGATGCGAAACAGTTGCGGGAATCGCCGAAGAAAACGAAGCGTTTGGTAAACGAGACAATTCCACGCTCTAATTTACACAACCGAATCGAGCGTTCCTCGAAGCGAGCCGCAGCGAAAAATCGGTAAGATAAGAAAGTTCTAGCTACCATTGTCCCTATCTTTGGCTCTCTCCCTTCCTCTACTCTCTTCCTCTTACTAGTGTGTCACTAACTGCCTCTTTTCAATTCGTTTCATGTCACGCCTGCTGTCCCTCTCGCACTTGCAGCGTTTTCTATGGGGAGGAATAGGAGAGCGGGACTCGTAGCTCAATACGAGATATTTGACGATAAATAAAGAGAAAACAGTGCAGTATCGAATTCGGAGTAGTATTTGAAATGAATAACAGTTTTAAAACGATTAGTTTAAGTTGATGAAACCAGGCCTTCGGCCTGGCACGTTCCTAGTTCTTAAGAGTATAAATTGTCTAAGTACGTGAAATCCATTAACCATCAAATAAAAAAATAGTAAAACAGAATTTCTTCTAAGATTTTAGGTTATGAAAACCAAAAATGATTCCCTCTTTACAATGTTTTATCGTAGTTAACTAAATTAATCTGCACTTTCTTTTAATTTTTCCATAAACAAATAAATAATAATATAAAAAAAATATGTTTCACACAATCTACTTAGAATGGAAATCTAATTAAATTTAGAATTAACCTTACCCTCACTCTCCTCGAGTTTTAGTCCTAAGCAAAAAAAAAAAAAAAAAACAATGTATGTAGCAACAAACAATATTTCAATTAACTCGAAATCAATTCACTCACACATTCACATTCACAGTTACAGTCTTTCCTCCAGGCACTTCATAAGCTT